ATGAGTCCCTTTAAGGATTAAGTGGTTGTCATGTAAGCATTATAGCTGAATTGCACAAAGGCATGGTGGTGAGCCCAAGCAAGCGTGGAGTGTTTGGGTTTCAAGTCATTTGCTATTTCAGGAGCTTCTACTGAAAAGCTCAACCTATTCCCAAGGTGATCCACTAAAGTCGGGACAGAAATGGGCTATGAAATCTCAGGCTCTTTCCCTTGGTAAGCGGGCTCTGAGAGTGTTCAGATCACCTCACGGTAACTGTGGCTTCATAAAAATCAAAGCTGACTGATGGGGAGGAGGCCCTCTGCTTTCGCGTGTTTAGTCTACCCGAGCTTTTAGTGCCACTGCGGCTGTGCTTCCTAATGGAAATGCATCTCTCTCTCTCATCATTACCCAGATACAAATGCTCTCGGATATGAAAGAGCTTTTTCACCTCTATCTTTTTGTCTTGTAATGTGCCCCTAATTCAGGAAGGAAACGAGGAGCAGTCGAGAAGAACACACCGCAAATGTTTTGTCAGGTAGTTCAAAGGGAGAGACAGGAATTTATAGAGCTCAATTTCTGTACCGCTTCAGTTTTTTTTTTTATTTTTAGATGACCGGTAAGGGGATCTTAACCCTTGACTTGGTGTTGTCAGCACCACGCTCAGCCAATGAGCAAACCGGCCATCCCTATATGGGATCCGAACCCGTGGCCTTGGTGTTACCAGCACCACACTCTCCCGAGTGAGCCACGGGCCGGCCGCTTCATTTTTTAGCTCCATGACTCTGACTCAGTCCAGTTGAAGGAATTAGTTTTCTCTTGTGAAGGGATGTGGCTAACAGAAAATAAGATAATGTCTCTTTTTTACTTTCATTTATTTATTTATTTATTTATTTATTTATTTATTTTTTATTTTTTTTCCTTTTTGTCTTTTTTCGTGTCCGGCAACGGATCGCAACCCTCAGTGTCGCACCCGTACCGGACCGGGACCGGCAACGGGATCGCAACCCTCGGTGTTGCTCCCACACCTCGCTCAGCCAGTGAGCAGGAACCGGTCTGTATGTGGGATCCGAACCCTCAGTGGGAGCGCCACCGCACTCCCAAGCGGCGCACTGTAGCAGTGCACCACTGGGCCGGCCCTATTTATTTATTTTTAAGAAATTATGCTTGACCAAATATTAAAACCTTTTATGCAGGGCCCTGTTGATATCACAGTATCAATTCTGACAAATCCATTATGAGGTGGGAATTATCCCCATTATACAGGTGTGGAATCTGAGGCTGAGAGAGGTAAAATAGCACATCCAAGGCTAGTGAGCATGACTGATTTCAAAGCTGGGGACTCTTACCAACACCCAACGTCTTGCAGGCCTGGCACACACGTGTATGTCAAAACACAAGTTCTGAGGAAGAAAAGGCAGAAATCATGTACCTGTCTCTCTTGTAGCAGGAGGAACTGGGGGCCCATCAGAGTTGCTGCAGGCAGAGTGGCTGAAGCAAAAGAAAGTGAAACAATGGGAACACTCAAAGGCCAGATTCTGAAGGTTCTTTCAAATAATTTGGTTTTCTTCTCACAGATTGGCAGCTTGTTCTCTGCCACAAAATCACATCTGTCTGGTCAAAACTGATCTCCTCATCTTTGTTTATTCCTGAATGTCAAGCTGAAAAAGGAGTTCATGTTCAGAGTCCAAATACCTTTGAGGTGCTGTGTGACCATGGTGGTGCCACTGACCTTCTCTGAACCTGTCACGTTCTGCAGAGCTGACTTTATATGGGCACCAGGGAAGAGTAGGGCTTCTCATGGAGGCTTCTGAATCAGTGTGTTCTTTTCTTCCATGGAAAAGCAGGATAGAAGAGGAAAGGTAGAGGGGACGTTTAGAAAAAGAAGGGAAAAAGTGTCCCTAAACTTCTGGACACACACTCAGCAATCCTGCTACTTACATACAAGGTAGAAGAGAAGACATTTTGCGTTAAGAAGCTGACTTCTAGATGTGGGTCTGCAACCTTCCATGAAACCACATATTAAGACAGTCGAATCCTGGAATCCTCCCCACATACGATTACTTCCTACCCCATGCCTAGCTATGTTTCCAAGCGCCTCAGCTCATAGCCAAATTCTCAAAACAAAGTAGAGCTTAATCCACTTTTGTTTAATAATTAAACAAATAATACTTAAAAAGCTTTTAGGAAAGTGGGAATAGGGTATGAAAAGATAAACAACATATGGATTTTAACTCTGCTGAAGCTGCATATCCTTGCTGGGTGAGGGTAGGGGGTGGGAGCATTATTCTGGGGCACAGCAAGTGTTTTATCTGAAATAGACAAATCCCAAATCCTCCCAGCTTCTGTTTCTCCCTCCTTAAGACCCGGGTCACAGTATTTATTTACTTAAGTGATGGAGATGAAGGCCCACCTGTCAGAATCACAGTGACCTGTTTCTTAAAGGGATTTCTGTAACACGCACCCCCCATCTTTATAAGACAAAAGGGGATTGCAAGAAAATCCACAGAAATAATTCAATAATTGAGTTTGAAGGAGATGGGTGAGATGGAGTGAGGAAGGGCTCCTAGGGGAGAGAGATACTGCAAGAAATGAGCAGACCTGTGGGTGCCATTTTAAGCAACCTGAAAGAGTAGACGCCTCTTCCTAGTGAGGAATTAGAAGGGATTTTGCAAAGCATGATACCCTAACTCGAAAGTCAGGCTCCCTTATAAATGTGCCTGGGGTGGGGTCCTCAAATTCTTATGAAGAGAGGCTTGTTCCAGTTCCCAAGGAATGCAGATAAGCACTTTCTCAGAAACAATACCACTGCTGCTCTCGAGGGTGAGGAGTCAACAGACAGGGTCCCGCCCGGAGGAGCTCAAGAAAAAGCACAGGTGACCTTACTTAACACACACACACACCATTTGCTAGATGCCAGGCAGTGGTCTCCATGCATGGACTCAAACAACACTTACGACAACATCCTCCTCCTCATCACTCCCATTCTACCCAGTTCAAGGCATCAGTGCTAGTCCGAGGTGGGGCCAGGGTTTGGGAAGGCACACTGGCCCAAGGGTTTCTGCTCTTATCCACAGCTCTGTATAGTGCCTCAATCAGAGAGGGGGTGGTCCCACCTGATGCTGTCATAAAGCCACGTTGCAGGGTGCTCCAGCAGACTCCTACATGAGAGAGAGGAAATATCCCCACACCCAAGTCAAAACGGAGGGCTTTGACATTTCTGGGCCAGAGGCAGGATGATGGAAAGGGCATGGGCTATGGAGTCAGACAGACCTGGTTTAGAACCTTCCGGTTTCCAAGGGAAAGTGTGTGTGTAAGTGTGTGCGTGTGTGTGTGTGTGTGTGTGTGTGTCTTACTTGCCTATCTATAAAGCAGGGTTTATGTGATATTCCCCAGGATTTTGTGAAGTTTAGAAACAAAATAGGAAACCTGCTTAGCAGAGTGCCCAGTGATGGAAGGACAGAAAAAGCCCAATTTGTAAGAGCTATTTTGAATGTTCCTTGTTATAAGGCCCAGTAGAGAAAGCATTAGGCTTCTGGCTGGTCATTATGGATCCACCAGAGGCAGTTCGTGCATATGGAATGGTGGATCGGCTGGAAGAAGCTCTATCTATGAGCCTCTCTAGATTTAGCACACTGGATTGCTTCCTGCTCCACCCAGTGGAAAGCCATTTTAGTAAATGCTTAGCTTAATTAGAGTCCAAATGTCTTCTCAAGGGCTGTGCATATGCACTTGTCACTATGATCACCCTCCTGTCTCCACAAAGCTTGCTTTTCCAGAAGTCTGAGCCTAGTTTCTGGTACACTAACCAGGTGAAATTTCCATTCCATAGTCTACCTCTTACTCCAGCCCTCCAGGAAGTCAACTCCCTCTTCTACTGAAGCAGCAGGTCAAAGAAGTATTGTCAACTTCTCACAGTACAGGTTGAGCATCTCTAATCTGAAATCCGAAATGCTCCAAAATCTGAAACTTTCTGAGTGCCTGACATGACACTCAATGGAAATGCTCAGTGGAGTAGTTCAAATTTTGGATTTTTGGATTAGGGATGCTCAACCTGTATGTATTCTACAAATATTTCAAAATCTGAATTTGGAAACACTTCTGGTCCTAAGCATTTCAGATAAGGGATATTCACCCTGTACCGCTTTTGGTCCCTCTTACCTCTCTTGGTCATGGACCACATCTAGTCAGGAAGCTTGAGCTTCTGCTCTGTAAGCTCAGACCAAAATGTCCACCACAGGCTGTGGGTGGCATCCAAGATACTTAATAAATATGAACAGCTACAACGGACCAAGATGATTATGTGTAAATTGGATCTGGAGTTCTGGCCTAGAACATTCTCTCCACTCTGTTGATACCAAAATGAAAATTCCTTTCAGGTATTACAACAAAGATTCTGAAATGCATACGAAGAAAGGAAGATGTATCAGAATACAATCCAGCAGGCACTGGAACGTAGACTTTGGAGATATAATGCAGATTCAAGATCATGCTGCTTTTCTTCAATGGTTCTTCCAGAGAAAACAGAAAAGACATACACAGTTTTCCCCACCCCACTGCCTGCTCCCTCCTGGTTGCTACAGCATTTTACTTGTGGGCATCATTAACAAACCAATGAGGGGAGATGGTGACTGCTCTTGGGGACAAATGAGAATGTACAGTATCACCATCTGCTTCTCCCCACTCACTACCACCAACATGCCCCAAAAAGCGTCCACAGCCTTGACTGCACAGTCATGTTTTTCCCATAGAAATTACAACAAGCAAAGATGAAATCTTCACCCTCTGAAATCCAAAGCAAGGTAGATGACAGCGTGATGGAAGGGAAGAGTACACTGAGTGCCTTATTGATCTCCCTGCCAGCTAGCAAATGGTGGGTAATAAAAATTTATTGAAAATTAGGGGGAAAAAACCACTTATTCTAATTCTTCTGTAAGGGATTACGGATATTGCATGTGAATAAAATTCCCCTTCCTCAGGATGAAAGGACCATCCTCCCACCAGCCAACCTTCCAAACAGCAAGGATTGAAAAATCTTGCAATTTTATTTGCATATAAAGGCCGCTAGATATAGAATATCACAATAAATTTAAAGAAACAACTGCTTTCCTAAATTTCATTAACAAGGTAACATAAAATAGAATAAAGCTCAACAGCATTTACAATGGGAAAACAGAAATGACTATTAGCGACAATATTTTGTGCTAGCCAAGATTGCATCGACACACAGTGCAAAATGGGGGGGGGGAGGAAAAAGACAATTCAGGGTATTTAAATAGAAAGGACAACTAAGCCTTATTTTAGTTAGCTTCCATTGCATCCTTAAATTTAAGTCTATACACGCCTTAATTGTACCTAGATTTCACTCAAGCTCTTTAAGACCTTGAGTTCTTAGAAAATGTGTCAGTTCCTTCGGAATTCCGATGCGCTGCTATACAGCACCCCTTCGCAGTTGTACTGTCCTTAGCAATATTAAACTCCTAACTTAGTCATAATACACAAAAAAATACTTATATATATAAACCCATATTGAAAAGGAGTCTGCACGCTCATTTGTTTTAACTGCATGAAATACCTGCTCTTGACAGATTCCATTTCCGTATTTTTAAAGCTAAAATAATTTAAAAGAAACAAACAAACAATGAGACCTTGTATAACCACAATATGGATCTCACTAGCTAAGCCGTCCTTTACACAAGGGCCGTTTTCTTCCCTTCACACAGCTTTCTTTACAGTGAGAGCGTGAAGAGAAGTCTTTTCCAGGCCTACTTCTGCTGGGAAGATTGCTATAAATCGGGGCCATGTCTGCAAAAAGAGAAGCATTACCGAGAAAACAACAACAACAACGAAACATCAAAAACGAAAATACTTCAAACAATACTTTTCAACAGTTGTGCAAATCTGGGTGGTTTTTAAAACACTGTCTACCTGTTTCTTTTTTTCTTTTTCTTCCAGCTTAAAGCATATTAAAATAAGACTTTTTAGCACTTTTTAAAAGAAAGCTTGGCTGACCTTTGGCGAACACTAACAATTTACAATGGCGTGGCCTTTGAGAAAACAGAAGGCATTTTACAAATTCACAACGCTCCTTTGATATCAAATGGATGCCCCATTAAAAAAAACATAAAGAAGAAGCACAACCTCTAGCATCATTTGCGTTTCAACATTTTACAAAAAGAACTCACAGGATTTGGAAATAAACAAGAGAATGTAAGTTTATAATTAGAAAAATGGCAGTTTATAGACCTTCCCTCACATTCCAATAGGGCACATAGAGCTTCAGGAACCCTGTGGGTTTGGAAGGTCAAATATAATTGGAGGGTTGGTCGGTTGAAAGCTGACTGTACACGTCGAGGCATTGATGTATGTTGTGTAGCCGTCGGTCATGATGCCATAACCTGTAAGGAGAGAGAGTCACATTCACTGTGATATATACAAATGACAGTGACTGGGTGTAGGACCATCAGGCAAGGAGAACCAAAAAAAAAAAAATGTCAGTGGTCGGTGAGGTGAAATTCAGTTGTGCTTCTCGGTGTAGAAGAACTTTCAGAAGCTGCTGCCTATTTCTACTGTGTTCTTCAAAAAAGAGAATCCTCTGCTTCGACGAAGAGCAATTCTTTTTTCCTTATTTAAATGCTAATGTTGTTGGGGAAAGGCTTTGATTTGTTTACTAGTGAGAATTAAAAAACAGAACAAAAAACATTTTTTTGTAAAAAATTTTCCTTCTTGTTTAAATAGAATTTTCATTTCAAAGCTCTGTATTAACCACTGAGTTCTAGGGAAGGAGATGTGCAACATAAGAATAACTCCTCAGGTGCACACACAACCAAATGCCAAAGGGGCTTCAGGACAGGCAGGAAGGAAAGAGCTTCGCACTGGAGCTGGGAGATGAGGGTACTCAGCTTCCTCATCTGTGAAATAATCTCGAAACTGCCTCCATGAAAGTTAACCATAAGTGATTTTATCCTACTTGACTTATGTGACTTTCATGCTGAGTCCATTTTATTCAAGAGCGTCAACTAATCAAATGTCCAAGTGATGTGTAGAAACATCACCACAGGACAACGTTTCTAAGCTTATCTGGACCCTGGATCAAGCAAAAACATTTGCCATATGTAATATAAACTTCTTGTGGAGAGAACAATAGGACAGTTTCCCTAGGTCTTTGACGTATATGTTCCTTTCATAAATTTTTAATATGTTGAAATTTTTAGCATGTTTTCAAGTTTGCACAATTCCCTGGATACTTTATATTTGCCTTGCAGCCTCTGAAACTAACTTTGTAATTCTGCTGGCTTCAGGCACTAATGGCAAATAGAAATACAGCTGTGAAAAAATAAAAATTACCACGACTTACAGAAATAACTGATAAGGTTTTATTCCCCCCATTTGCTAAAACTTCTCCAAGTAAGCCTGTGGAGAGCTTAACGAGGGTCAATGGAGAAATCTCTTAAGAAAAGAAAAGAAGCATTTAAAATGTGCACTGTTTAGTTCTGGGGTCATAAAGTCTTATTATCTCTCTCCATCAAGAGGTTGGTATTTGCCCTCTCTCTGCCCTCTTCAGCTGTCTTAAGTGAATAAAAGGAAGACAAGTTTATTTGAATATAATCTCCTCCCTTTTGAGCAAGTTTATTATTTTGGGGATTCGGTGGAATTCTCCAATTGTCTGGCTAGTTTAAAGGTAATGAATGATTTTTTTTAAAGATGAAATGCAAACCCATAGGCATGCTGTAGGAATTCAAGCCTGTTTTCAAGATAACAGCCCTCCAGAAATGTTTAGATATAAGGTCCCATCTCTCTGGTCTCCCCTCCTCACATCCCGCCCCACTGCATCAGACCTTGGACAAGTGCCCTCCTTTTCAGGGAGCACAGCTCAAAGTCAGGACAGGCTGTCATCGCTCTCTGGGAGCTGTACCCCTGCTCTCCATCCACGCAGCTGGTGCCTGCACTTGGAGCAAGATGAATTTTCTCTGGCCTCAGTAGGATGATTTTCAATATGCTCTTTATTACCCGCCTAACCAGGAAGCCACGGGATTTGTGGTTTTGAAAGGCAAACTTTGTTTTTTGCTTTGACAGGCAAATGGCCTTAAATATCTTAACTTGCCTGCAGATTCATAAAATACTCCAGAGAGCAGCTGTAAGCAGGAGCTGAAGAGAATATGGTGCTGCCCACCCATTGCACACCTGCTGAAAGAGGGCTTTGTGTCCGACCGAAAGCACAGTTACCCCCAGTCTGAGAAAAAGCAGGACAGACAAAACCCAGAGCCCTGAAGGTTCCTGTGAGACTTTCAGGTTCTGTAAACTTGACTTGGCTTACCTTGCAAGGCAGAAAAGAGCAGCTGGACCAGTTTCCATTTATGGGCGATTTAATTATTCTGCTAATCTCAGCCTGAGCTAATAGCGCTGGTGATTTCTGAGAAGTCTGAAATTGTTTTCTGAGGTTAGTAAGAAAATGTCTACCTGCAATTGAGCAGGTTCTTGCCACTTCTGTCATATATCTTTCATTGCATGTCCAAAGTTATTTTTCAGAGAATGCCTTCTCTTCTTGGGTCTTTGTTGCATTCCAGATGAAACACAACATTTAATGGTTAGGTAGAAAGTGTACAATAGTTCCTAATAAACAGCTTCTAATGTCCAGGCATTGCTTCTAACTCTCTTAAAGAGAAAATATGTTCTACGTACTTCAGGGTTGCCCTATAAGCAGTGGTGATCAAACTTTCCTCATTAGATTCTGAGATTCCAGAAGCTGCCTGGAAGAGTGCTGGGTTTGTGACAAGGTGGGCCAGATGTGGTTCCTACTGATAAATATTTATCAGCTTTATTTGGAGATGTTTCTCATAAGATTTCATCTTATAAAGGCGTTCCACTGCTGAAAAGTTTGAAAACCACTGCTCCAGGTAGTCCTAGTTTAGCTAAGGTCTCCCCCAATGGAAGGACACAACATGTTGTGAATTCCTTTCTTTTGTTCTTACCTTCATGGATTCCACCAAACACATGGAGCTTGGGCCGGACACGCCTCTGCACTGTGTTTAACAGCTCCACACAGCCCACTCTCTGAAGCTCCTTTGGAACCCAGTCTCGAAAACCTAAGGGCAAAACGCAATCAATACTCTTAATTTTCTTTCTTCAGGTAAGGTTTCATTTAGACTTTCAGGAAGCCATAACTCACAGAAGGTTTATTACATTATCTGTAATCCTAGCCTCTCCATTAAAGCTCACAATGGCTTTTAAGAAACTTTTCACTTGTCACTTTGTCTTCTTTAGGATCTTGATTTTTTTTTTTTTTTTTGGTTTCCATTTTTTTCTTTCCTGTTAATTAACATTTTCTTTTTTTTCTGCAAGGGATTTGATTTATTCAGCCATAGGTTTCAAATCTTCTTCATAGGCTCTGTGACGTTTATTCCCGGCAGTCCCATATCTTTTTCTTCCTCAATTCAGTTACTTTCTCTTTTTTATTATATCTTTCCTATAGCTGTTTACTTCCAAGACGGTTCAGAGAAGGAGGACTGGGAGGAGCTGCCTGTAAACTGGCCACAAGACACCTGGCTCTCTTCAGATACGTCAACTCTTAACCCTTGCTGGTTCCCGATGACCAGAGCTTTGGAAAGCCAGTTGCTCCTCCAGTCTCCCCTCTAGCAACAGGCAACAATATGACCTCGTGGTGGCATCAAGCAAGCTGGGGCTAATTGACTACTTTAAAAGTAAAAGCCACTTAGTTCTACGCTTAATGCAGAAAATCCATAAAAACTGACATTAATTATAGCAAAAGTCAGCTATCTGGATGATTACAGTCTGAAATGGAATCCACATGCCTCAGCAGGATGGGGCATAAAGAAGGTAGGCAGGACGAAAGGGTAAATCGTCAGCTATGGGAATCCATTCCACAACTCCATTAGGTGATTTCTACTGTTAAGAAATGACTGGGCAGAAAGAGACTACTTTCTGCTTTGTTTGGCCCAGTTGTAGACATGAATATTTAGCATCTCTGTAAAGACATGTCAGCTGGGATGCAGAGAGTGACCAGACCAGAGCATCTGGAAAGAATATCAGATGAAAGTGGGGCTCTAGTGAACATCTAACCAGAGTTTCCAAACTTTTTTTAATTAGAGGAAAACATCTTTATTCCACAGTGATTGGTATATTCATTCATGGATGTGTTTTTCTTAAAGGGGAAGACTTGCACCTGAGCAAGTATCTTGTCCATATCCTAACAGCAAAGTCCCACAGAACTACATCTTCACTCCACCTTTACTACAAAGAGAGGGAGGCCAGCATTTCTATGAAGGGCTCCTGGGATGTCCGGGTTCTTTGGAGTCTAGAATTCAGACTTACTATTACTGCTTTACTATCACTCATATCTATACCAAAACTAATGACTTGATAAAGTGTGTGAATTGACTGTTCTGTTGAAAGTTACATTCAAATCATATCCCAGTCATGTAAATGGTTCTATGTGGAAGATGTCCAAGTCCCTTATAATAAACAGCCTAAGGGAAATCATGCCTGTACCCATCGGGCTGCTCAGGCAAAAGGATCAGGTTGGCTGGAATGAAAACTCTATAGAGTGCTCTCACTGGGTAACTCATGCTGATCAGAATATTTAGCTGCAATTTAATGATTTAGTTAATCTAATGGTTGTAAAATAGGGAAATTAATTAATTATGATTTGATAAAGGTCGTTGGCAAGTATAATCTTTTAAAACATGTGATGGGGTGATATGGGACAGGGAAATAAGTGTTGGGATGATGATTGCGAAGTGCTGAAAAAGTCAGGGACTGCTGATCTTGTGCAAATCTGAGCAATTTCCATGTCAGCAACACAACTGGTCCCTCTTCTCTCACTTTCCCATCATTAAAATGTGCCACGAAGGTATACGTCCTGGTCCTCTCTTCCGCTGTTTCTTCCCTCATAAGAGAAGGAATGAAACACCAAATGGCTTGAAGGAGAAAATACTGACAAAGATTAAATTTGCATAAGGGGATGAATGTTAGATTTTTTTATTTTGGGAGCTGACAGAGAAAGGAAGTCACTTGGATAATAACCCCAAGCCACAGAAAAAATTGCGAAAATCATTTATTTTGTAGTGTTTTCGCTCTCTCTCCAAACCAAGATGATCAAGAAAACTCTTTCAGCATTGTACACTCAAAAATTTGTTAGGAGGGTAGATTTCATGTTATGCATTTTTTACCATGAAAAAGGGAAATAAAAAGAAAAAGAAAGAAAAAAACCAAAGTGAAACATCTGAATTTCCTGAGCACGTCTTAATTGAACAGGAAAGGATCTGGCATAAAGGGTGCTGGGTAGAGGGGGGATCAAGGGGTAGTCCTGGTTGAAAAATGTTCTGTGGCTAAGCCAAACAGATAACAAGCTCATGAATAATTAGAAAATAATAAGTCAAATAAGCATCTTCTGACCCATAATCTAGGTCCCTAGGGGGTAGCTTTGAAGCACACAGATAATATAAACCTGGATGCTCAATGTGCCTGTAGGATAAGTACCCTTAAGTAACTTTCAACATAAGTCTTTACTGAAATATCTTGGCTTAAAAAAAATTCTGTTCTCATATAATCATCTCAAATGTTAAACTTTAAGATCTCCCAGGTTCCAGCAATATATGGAAAAGGAAAATGAGCTCCTTTGAACAAAAATTTTCATCATTTCATTATCACCCAATTGCCCTGCAATTGGAGATAGGTGTCTTCCTTCCAAGCCCTACCCCATCCTCCACACTCCAAAGTGAATACAGTTCTTAAAATAAATTGTCAAGCTCAAAAGACCATGGCACACCATACTCATTTGATTTTTCCCTGACTCGACTAAATCGAAAAATTTAATTTCAAGAACACCTGTAAGCCCAGCAGAACTGCTGAGTTTAATTATCATACTGGGTTTCTTTAAAGACATTGACTTTTCTTTTTGTGTTCACTTTTTTCTTTTTTTGGAGGAAAATGATTATGTCCCCAAAGCATTATTCATTATACTTAGAAAAAAAGGCCCACCTGTGCTTCACTTACCTAGAGGAGGTCCATGTGTCATGAGTATGTCGAGGCCCTCCGGGATGAGGTTCCACTTGTCCAGCAGTGACTGACCTCTGGGTAGGTTAAAGCCCCATCCATTAAACCACGGGGTCCTTTGGGGGAGATAATGCACATGGTATCAGGCCTGCAGAGCCACATCTCTGCTCCGCAATATTTCTCTCTCGCACATTCCCCCACAGTTTGTGTTGCTCTCTTTTCTCTTTTTGATGGCTGCCCCTGGCAGCAGGATGCTTTTTTGTTGACTGCTTCAAAACCAATCCACATGAAAGCAAGCGTGGAGCCTGCAAATTGTTCCACTAGAAAGGGGCACAGGAGCCTTTACAGTGGAGACTTTCCCAGCAGTTCTCTATCGAAATCTTGACAATGCTTTGTCTTCCCCCAAATCTCAGTGCTTCCTGAGATACCCAGCCCCAATCCAAAGCATTTCCACCTTCCCTGTAGTGCCTCAGAGCTAGGAAATTACACCAGTACCCCTTCTCCCTCCCCGTCACTATGGAACTACTTCGCTAGCAGGATTCTTACTACAGTCCTCAGAGGAAAGGACAAGGGCTCTGAGGCAGAAACCTCTGTCCACGGAGATGTTTTGAATATCTAGGACTGAAATTTCTGAAAAAATATGGGGGCTCTGAAAAGTGAGAACATTGGTGAACAAAAAGCAAATGTAGACTTTTCCCCCTGTAAGCAAATGTGGACTTTTCCTCCTGTAATCAAAGGGAACATTCTGGGGACATCTCTGGTCACTCTGGAATACACTCCCCTGGCAATGAACACGAGCATTTCACCATTACACGAACTTCTGCTCCAGGAATGAGCTTCTGAGATTGATGCTCTATGTAAGAGGGAATAGGGTGTTTTCCATCCAATGAGCATTTCTTTTTTTTTTTTCCTTTTTGTCTTTTTTACTGACCAGTAACGGGATCGCAACCCTCAAGTGTCGCGCCCGTACTGGGGACCAGCAACGGGATCGCAACCCTCGGTGTTGCGCCCGCACCGCGCTCAGCCAGTGAACGGGAACTGGTCTCCACATGGGATCCAAACCCTCAGTGGGAGCGCCGCCACGCTCCGAAGCGGTGCACTCTCCAGTGCGCCACCGGGCCGGCCCCAATGAGCATTTCTTATTGGAGCTAAAATGTCTCTATTGTTTGTAATAGTGGGAGAATAATCACTTTTTCTCTACAAATACTACAAGGCTAAATCATATTAGAACTAAGCAGTTTCCATACATATACATATAAACAGTATTCTTTGAAACTGACTCTCTTTTGTTCTGTAGGAAAATTCCAGTTTGCTAGCGTGTACATGTAAAAGACTAGTCAGTCAATTTTCTGGCTAAGTCCAACTTTCTTCCTTAGCTTAACCTGCACCTTCCTACTGAAAGAAGTAACCCTTTGTACAAGGTGATCCCAACCTTGTCAGTAACAGCTAATCAAACAGGGAGCACTCTTATTTAAAGGAGATCATTGGCCATACTAATCAGATTTTTTTAAAGAATTTGAACTCAGAAATGCTGATACAGCATTCATTTGGTGGTGGACATGCACAGTCAAGGCCAGAGGTGGCAGGACAGCAATTGAAAGCCGTGTAAAAGTCCACATTATGGATGAGACCCTCAGTTCCCACAGAGGTGGTTGAGAGAGAGTTCCAGAGAGAAGAGATTGTGTGGCTCCAGCTAGAAAAAGGGGGATCAAACTAAGAAAGTATCTGACTTGCTTCCTAACCCTCTTCCAAGTCCCTAAGCCATCCTTGGGGTGCTTACTTGTGATAACAATAAGAACGTAATAAGAACAATCACTACTATAGCTATTATTTATTGAATGCTTACTCTGTGTCGAGTACTATTCTAAGCACGTTATTTGTATTAACACTTTTAAACCTCACAACAAACTCATGAGGTGGGTATTATTATCATCCCCATTTTACAGATGAGGAAACTGAGGCACAGAGAGGTCAAATAAACACAACAAATAACTTGGATATAAACCCAGGCAGTCTGGTTCCAAAACCCATATTTAACCACTCTGCAATTCCTCTTTTTATAGACCACCTGAACTAACTTCTTGCCCTGGCTGAGGCTCTTTGGGACTCTTTCAAGTTTGAGTGTATTGTTGCTTGAAGCCAAATGAGATCTAAACTGGAATAATATATGAAATTCATGGTTCTGAAATCCAGCAATAACACGGTAGAGTGGACATCTATTGCTTTTGCCTTCCCAAATCGTTCCCCTTTCTTTTAGTGACAACACCTGAGTCTCCTTTGGAGAATCCTACTCAGTACATGTGCTTCTGGAAAGGTTGAATCCATCACTGCTCTAGGATGTACCTTCTTAAAGAGTATTCAGTTTAGGGATGTACATCTGACCCAAGCTGGGCCAATGAGGTTCATCCTCAGGATTTCACTGGTGCTACCTAAAAAGAGGTCATGATTTCCTCTCAAGGATCATGAGTCTCAAGAATTATGAAGGCCTAGAATTTCCTGGGAGCCATCTTAGCCACCATGCAGATAGTGCTGGCTTGAGAATCAACTCATAACAAAAAAAACCCAAGAAAAGAACAGACACATGTGCCTGAAGCCAATCAAACCTTTACTTCCAAATACATGAGCCAATAAAACCTTTTATTTTTATCAGGTCCTGTTTCTTGCAACTGAAAGATTCCTAATATATACTATTACTGTTTCTAGTGTCAAAATGACCTATGTTCCTATGGTTACTGCTCCCCTCCCCCAAGATATCCACATCCTAATCCCTGGAATCTATGAATATGTTACCTCAGTTGGCAAAAGGGAAGAAAGGTCACTGACAGAATTCAGCTGACCTTAAAATAGGAAGACTATGCTGGATTATCTAGGTGGACCCAATGTAACCACAGGGTCCCCAAAAGTGGAAGGGGGAGGCAGATAAGCAGATTGGAGGGATGCGATGTGAAAAGGACTCAAACACTCCACCTGTTCTTGCTGGTTTTGAGGATCGAGGAAGAGGACCAGGAGCCAAGGAACCTGGGCAGACTGTAGAAGCTGGAAAAGGTAAGGAAAGAAAACGAATTCTCCCGTAGAGCCTCCAGAAAGGAGGGCAGCCCTGCTGACAGCTGAGTTTTAGTCCAGTGAGACCCACGTCAGACTCTGACCAACATATATGCAACATAAATATGGGTTTGAAGCCACGATATTTTTAGTGATTTGTTATAGCAGAAATAGAAAACTACGATAAAACTTACAATGTGGGAGCTGGCTATAAAGTACAGGGCCTGTGAGTGACACTGGGCCTTACCTGGTACACCGCATGTGCTAGAGCAACAAAGCCCCTGCACAGCCACACCTCCTTGCTCAGCTGGATGCATTGCTTTGGGGATCCTTTGAGGAGAGGGCAGTTCTTGCTTTCTTAACCCAGTCGGGGGGGGGGGGGGCAGGGGGTGGCATGGGGCATCAGGCTTCACAGGCCTGGGGGTAATACTGGGTAGACCCTTTTAGAACTCAATTAGTCAGTCTTGCTCTCTCCTGTCTTATAGGACTCCCAGGTTAGGATACCCATTCTTCCCCACCATTTTACAATGACTCTAGATTTGTCTTAAAAGACAAAACAAAACAAAAAAGGCAACTGTAGAACCCAATGAAAGCTCTGTTCATTTTGGCAAGAGAGAGGAAGAGTAAAATAAGAAAAACATCTGTTTTCCTAGATTTTGAAAACAAGCTTCTGGGTCTATGGTTCTTGTCTGGATGGACAATAAAGAAGGGTTTGGAAGGGTCCCAGGCACACCCAAGTAGCTCGTACAATGAGGAGCTCTGACTGCAGCGTCAGAGTCTTGGAGGATAGTCAGGCTCTGAAGCTCCAGGACAGCCCTGGGGCTTCCAGAGTCAGAAGAACAGGACTTAATTTTTTTCAGTCTTTCCAGTGTTCCCTCATAGAATTTTCTCTTGGAAATCCACAGCCAAATTCCCCCAGGAAATACTCAGGATTTTGGTTTTTTTGACCGGTAAGGGGATTGCAACCTTCGGCTTGGTGTCGTCCACACCACGCTCAGCCAGTGAGCACACCGGCCATCCCTATACAGGATCCGAACCCAAGGCCTCGGCACTCCAGTGCCGCACTCTCCCAAGTGAGCCACAGGGCCGGCCCAAAATACTCAATTTTATAAGTGCTCTGTTAAAGGTTAAGACAAGCCCATGGTCCATAGTACCCCAAATTTCATTTGGTTAATGTTAAGCTTGTGATGAAATCCAGAAGTTTCCAAGTGAAGGGTAAAGTTTAAAAATGTCTGGCTTTTAATTCGACTCAAACCTGTACGTCCATAGAAATGAGAACGGTTAAGTTACAGGGAAAGGAACTGTAATTCCCCAATATGCTTTACACAGAGCATATATGTGGATTAATGAATTTAATTATTCACAAAAACCCTTAACCTAGGTATTATCAACTCTGTTTTTAGATAAAAATCTGAAGATCGGTGATATCAAGTAACATGTCCATGTTCCCAGGACCAGTAAGTAGTGGGGCCAAGATCTGAACCCAGATCTGCTGGCTCCAAAGCCTGTGTTCTTTCCTTGCACAATGCTGACTAAAACCTTCTAGCCCAATTTTAGTTTTTACTCTCACATACGTAAAGTGAAAATATGGCTGCTCCATACAGTCTCTCAGGCTGTGCACTGTACAACTCCAGGAGGTTCCATGGAATTGTGCAGTTGAGGTGGCCCTTAGTAAAAACATGGTGTGATATGAACTTTTGGGGGGACTTCCATTCCTCTAAATTTTCCAGGTAAGGTCTTTCCATGAGACAGTGGCCAGGCAATAGAAAAAGCAGCCCGAGGATGGGTTCCAGAATTATCCCAGTACAGCATGATAAATGCAGCAAACAGAAGTCAGGAGACCTATGTGCTAATTCACATTCTGGCATCAATTCACCAGTTCACTCAGACCTTAGATAAGAGAAGGCCCCTTACTGGGCCAGTTTCCTCATCTAACAAATGAACAAGTGCATGGACTCAATTACTGGATCTCAAGATTGCTTTTAGGTTGTAGAAATCTTATGCAGAAGTCCAATATGCAAAGCAGGCAAATGCTGAGTGCTCTTGCTGGGGGCCTGGGAAGAAGGGATTCAGACCTGCTCCCTAGCTCAGCCCCCTCTTCCTTTCTAACCTACATCTCTGAGCACAGCTGGACAAACCTGGCACTTGATGATCTCTCTGTGATCTAAAAATCCTAACATTTTATAATTTTGTGCAAATTAACAATGCTCTGAGTAACTGCTGTGAATTACTCTCAGTGAATTATCTAAATTACCTGTGAAGACCCACATTCAGTGTGGGAGAAATATCTGTACAGATCAGAAGACTGAATGCATTGGCATCAATGAATAATGCTTTATTCAGTGGAGTTTCAATTTGAAACATGAAACTCCAGCCGTGGGCCCATCAGGTGGAAAATATGTGCGTAGCCAACCCCCAAAGCCCCACAATGGGTTTTGTTCTGTATCAATGGGGGGTGGGGGCGAGGGGGAAAAGGAGGAGGGAGGAATCCAAGGGAACAATGTCTATTGCCTCAGCCAAGGACTTAATAATTAGCTGTGACTAACAAATACCACATGGGAACCAACTTGTAAGAAAATGTCTCACAAAACACCCTATTGCTGGTAGGCCAATCTGAGTCTGCAACCCATCCCCTCCTAGGGAGAAATTAGAAAACCTGGAAGGAAGGAGAGCAACTCCATCTGTCAGAAGCCACTGGTGCAAAGACTCAGATGATGGAAACTGGGGATGCTTTCAAGACACCCACCCCCCGCAACGCCCTTGCTCTTGAAATTATAAGCACTTGGTCTCTCTGGGCTGAAATTCCAGGGGCAGAAGCTAAGGGAGTTAACATAGGCAGAACTTGTTCCAAACAATGTCAATACAAAACAGGTTTTCTATATGGAAGCAAGTTGAGATGAAATCGCTGCAAAGGTCATCTGTGTTTGCAGTACACAGTGCGGTGGTGCAGGCAGAAGGGAGCTGCCGGACCATAAATCCAGGGAGGCCTGGACAGGTGAGCGGATATTTACTCCCCTACAAACTTCAGTGGGGGCTGGGCACATCTAAGGCAAGCAGGATTTGGAAAAGGGAAGTTGGTGCTTGTGCTCAGGTGAGCTGCTCAGGTTCACAGCCCTGGTGTTGGTCAGCATCCAACAGATTCTCGATGGACAGACATGTCCTGGACTGGGTGCATCACAAAGACTCAAGTTCTTATTAATAGGGTTTCCTGGGCATCTCCTGCAGGAATTAAGGCTTGGAAGCCCTGGGACAGCTCCACTGGGGTTCTGCATAGAAGCTGGGAAAGGGAGAATGGGAGGGCTTATGTGACACACAGACATAAAAGCTGGCAGGCTGGCCATGCCACTTAGACCCACGAGAACATGGAACCATTCTTATTTTAGAGACAGAAGCTAAGAGCATGGATTATGGAGTCAAGCAGACCCATGTTCAAGGACGTGCCAATTATTGGCTTCTCTGAACTCCAGTGTACTCATCTTTCAAATAAAAGACTACCTGCCTATGTGGATAAAATGAGTTAAGTTATGTAAAACTTTTGGCAGAGTACTGTCACAGCGTGTTAATGTGAAGCTCTTAATTTATGTATGATATATATTAGCAATATACACGTATGTGTGTGCATAAATGAGGGTACTTCAAAAAGTTCGTGGAAAAAATAGAATTAAAAGATAATACAGACCTTCCCATGAACCTTTTGAAATACCCTCATATATATATATACACACACACACACACACACATACATACACACATATATACATATATATATATATACACGCATACATACACACACACACGCATGCAGAGTAGCTCGTGTTATTTTTTCTTTCTGGAATTTCCCAAGCAATGGCTCATCCAATCATAGACCCTCATGCTCCAGAGTTTTGAAAAGTCCTCAGTGAAGAGGCAGGCATTACTAGGTGGTCAGACAGAGCCTGATTTGCTCTGGCTGATGACTTATTAAAGGCACTTCCTCCGCTCACTTCTGAGTGGAGGTTTTTCAGAAAGGTACGCACTCACTTGCTCCCTCACTTGCTCAGTCTTGCGTAGACAATCGTGTGGAATGCGAGAGCACAGGGCAAAATGGTTAGTCAAGGCTGCTTAGCCAGCTAGTACAGGTGGTTGGATTTTGACAAGATCTTAAATTGGGGAAGTTCGGAGAGGGGTTATGTTGAGTCCCTGGAATATTTATAATAGGACTTTCATAGAGGTTCACCGGAGGAATTGACAAGCTACTAATTAACACCATCACTGCTGCCTGGAACCTCCATTAAGCACAATTCTGAAACTGGGAGTCAATATACACATGCACTTTCTTTGCTAAATGGTGGTCCTTCCAAATCGCAGCCTTCTTCACGCCTGGCACTCCCAGCCGCCAGTGGCCACTCTCTGACTGCACATCACACCAGGTCCAAGAGAAGCTAATTTAACCACCGCTGGTTAAAATCATACCGCACTTCACAGTGCCTTTCACATGCCATGAAGCTGTCATGATAATTCTTGATCTCTAGCTCACCTGACAGCTCAGCCCTCCCTTGACTGCAAAGCTTCCCCGTCAGTTAGAAATAGCAGTTTCCCTGGCACCAGATGTGTCATCCTGAATATCCAGATGAAAGACAGACACCTGCCCCCGCCCTCACACTCCCTCCACTCCTTGCCTCGTTTTCCCATCTTCGCTCAGGATTTTGTTTAAGAAGCCAGCCTCCTCCTCTCTCCCCTAAGTGCTTCCACTTGGCAACCTGGAAGTTACTCTTCCGTGCAATTAAAAAGATGTCTTGCATTAGCCCACAGAGCAACTTCACACCTTGTGCAGCAAAGAGACACACATACCAATTGACATCGCTAGGAGACGGAGGGAAAACTTGACTTCAGGGCAAGATTTCTACCCTGTGCAGCTGCTTGGGAAGCCAGCCTAGCCCAGACCACTGGCTCAGCTGCCTCCAAAGGGCAGTGCTGGCTTCTCTCTCACCAGCTGTCTAGTCCCATCTTTTCACTAGGACTTTGTAGCTTGGTCTTTTGTGACAAGATCCTTGGGATGAAAAGAGATACTGTTTTGATAAAGGGCAGGCCTGGGTGAATAATGCAGTGTGTGTGCATGGACAAGAAAGAAACAAATCGTGTCTGAGGTAGTCATCTGAGCCCCATGAGCTACACACGGGGGCAGCTTAAACCAAGGCAGCATATGCTGCAGTCTTTACACACACGCTAACTCTGTCCCCTTATTGCTACTAATAAGGAACAATTGTCAGAATTAAGCCTCC